GTGGACCTCCTGACCCACTGATCAGTCTGGTCAGATGGGGATTGTTCATCTTCAGACTCCGAACTCCCACTGTCAGAGGCTACCTTTGACTCATCATTTCCACCGACTTCAAACTCTGGAACTGTGTCGACAATTGTTTCAGTTTCTTGTTCGGAAACCGGTTCAGGAACCAATTTAGCTCCCTGTTTTTCTGCTCCCGTGTCAAACTCAACCTGCTATTTTTGAACCTTAGAGTTTGATTCCTTTATGTCTTTGTACAATTCAGCCTCATTGAACGTCGCATGTTTACTTCTGACTACCTTTTTGCTTTCAAAATCCCAAAGCCGGTAGCCCATGTTGTCTGATCCATAGCCAATAAAGGTGTACTTCTTGGCCTTTGCATCTAGCTTATCACCATCTTGATTCAAATCATAAGCACTGCACCCGAAAACCTTTAGGTGCTTATAGTCAACAGCTTTACCCTTCCATTCTTCTTGAGGTACTTTGAAACCCAACGGAACTGAAAGCGATCAGTTGATTAGGTAAGTAGCAGTGTTAATTGCGTCTGCCCAAAACATCTTCGGGAGCCCTGCATTTATTCTCATACTTCTGGCTCTCTTGTTTAGAGTTCTATTCATCCTTTCTGCGACTCCATTTTGTTGAGGAGTGCGTGGAACAGTCTTTATCATCTGAATGCCTCGTTCAGCACAATAGTCCATGAACTCTGTGCTAATGTACTCCCCTCCGTTGTCCGATTTCAAACACTTCACCTTCAAACCAGTTTCAAGTTCAACGGCAATTTTCCATTTCTTAAAAACATCAAATACTTCGTATTTACTTTTAAGAAAATAAACCCATACCTTGCGTGTGGCATCATCTATGAAGGTCACATAGAATCTCAAGCCTCCTAGGGATTCAACTCGCGTTGGACCAAAAACATCTGAATGAATAAGCTCTAACTTCTGAGCTTTAGGTACTCTCCTCGTCTTCGCAAAAGATACCCTCTTTTTCTTTCCATAAACACAAGGTTCACAGAATTCAGATTCAACTTTCTTTAGGTCTGGAAGCTTTCCTTTGGCGACAAGCATTTTCATCCCCTTTTCACTCATATGGCCGAGTCGTTGATGCCACAACTTGGAGAGACTCAGCCCACTAGCTACTGTGTTTGCATCACCTGCAGTTGTCTCAGCCATGTACAAAGTACCCTGTTTCTTTCCCTTAGCAATTACCATACTTCCCTTGACAACCTTCCATTGTCCAGCCCCGAAGTGAACATTATACCCCTGGTCGTCCAATTGCCCAATGGAAATCAACATCTTTCTCAATTTGGGAATTACCCTGACATCTTTCAATGTCCAAATTGTTCCCAAGTTGGTTTTTAAGTCAATATCTCCCACCC